ACAAATACACACAGATGTGTAAACATAAGTCATGGTCTCTGTCCTCTTATTTGTTTCCCGGAGACCTTTACTTTCTCTGAGACTGTTGCTCTCTCTTCCGTTTTTCTTTCTTTAACAGAAACTAATGGGAGAGATAAAGACAAGCAATAGTGGGGGCCATTTCAATCCATCTCAATAAATGACGCAATTAGCATACACATCTTTTTCTGCAGTGAGAAGCTCAGATGTTTCTTGCCGTTTCAGTTTGATCAAAGTTTTTCAGCAAAAACCAAACAATGTTAATTTCCGACAAAACGGGTTTGACACCTCTTGTTGTATAGTACCTAGTAATTCACCTGATATAAGGATAAAGGCAAAGACATGTAGCTACACTGCAGATAGTGACATTATATAGGCTTTATGAAATGTTATGACTGATCCAGCAATTGACCATTATGGATTGAAGCTGAACGTTGGTAAGCACAGACTATATAAAGTGTAGCAGCAGTGTACACATATAGAGCAGGCGCTCAGCAGTTTATAAGATGAACAATAGTAAAGCAAGCTATGACATAAACCCAGTGCTTTCAGTGGAAATATTTCTTGAATTATTGACCAAATGTGATGTGTGCATGCTGAGTTTCCCATGATTCGAATATTACAGAGAAATAATTATATGAAAGGGCCGTGGGCAAGACAAATCTCTGAAGCCAATATACAATATTATTCTATGAATTACAGTGAGCTGAAAGGACTCCCCGCCACCCTTAAACAACTGCTGGCAGGGAGGTAGCTGCGACAAAACCAACCACCATAACATTCCTAATACTTTTTACCAATACATAAATGAGCATCATGAAAGTACCATAATGCAAGTGCCAAACAACAGCCAGGGCAGACAGGCATAAACTCAACCATGACAGGAAGTAATCTACAATTATTGAGGAAGAGTTATTCCCAGGGGGAGAGACTGAGCGTGTGGCATTCCATGTAATTTGCTCAGTTTAATTTCTTACATTTAAACCAATTTTGTGCAGTGAGTGAACATACAGATTACATATTCCCAGTTCTCACTCGTGTGCCACATGGCTTTAGTATTGACATACTGTAGAATGACATAGATTGAGGAATACGTACACTAATCTGCTAGTTTATAATGGATTGTGATCTGCACTATTTTTAGATGTCTCTGTCTGTCAGCTGTGAGTTAATCTGACCATGCTAAAACACAAACACACACGCACACACAGACACTTTAACACACTAAGCAAGGGGTTCATGGGTTAACAAGCACTACAGTCACGGTCATAAAAACAAGAAGGGAAAGAGGAGGTTAGAGGGATTTATGTAGCTACTACATCCATTAATCTGTGTCTATCCCAAAGACAAATAATGACTGGTCTCCCACCACACAAATGGCCACAGCAGATGGACATGAAGTGACATAATTGCACATCACTATACACTAAGGAAATATTTAAGCACAGAGGATGCCTACTATCGCTGGATGCGACGTCTTCTATTGTTGTAAGCAGTTCTTACATAACCTTAAGTATTACAAACTGTAATCAAGTGATTGCTGTAATAAACACCACATACTGCAGTTCTGTTGTTATATTGTGGAATGTCCTTTTATGTTGTTCAAGGTTTCTTATAGCACTTTATTAAGGCAGAAATACAAAGGTTTTTATTGCAGTGATGCATTAATGCAGGTCTTTTATATGCTGCAGTGAAAATAACATCTACAAATTCTGCTGTGGCTTTATGATTACTATCTCTCCCTCTTTGGCTCTGTATTTTATATCTCACATCATAAATCCAACTCTTTTGCTTGCCTCTTCTTCATTCCAACATTCACTATTCTGGTCCCTCTCGACCTTTGTGTCCATCATCACACTCACCTCCTTTACATCACATCAACTCCCAGGGTGTGTTAATGTGTTTGGATATGTGCACTTGTGGCAGCTCAGTGCATCACTTCCCAAATGACAGGACTGCCACATGTGATACAACAAGCTTAGAAAAAGAAAAGAGAAAATGTAGGATTTGTGTAGAAGTGTATTAAAGATGTCATCATACAGAAAACATGTTTGCATGTGCTTCACCCCATATACAGTATAGATTTAACATCAGAGACTCATAAATACAAAAAGCAGCCACTCACATCACTACGCCCAAGAGAAATCACTTGCCTTTGGAACGTGTAGCCTCAGAGCCCCTGCCCTTTACCTTCAATCCTCCTCATCACAGGAGAGGTCCTCTGAGACTGTGGGAACAGCTGCGTTAAAGCCCCATGATCCAGCCCAAGAGACCCAGCCTGGATCAGTCTATCATGGCCTTATATGCATAAATGAAAATTATCCCAAAGGCAGAGGCCACATCATGCAGGTTACATAAACCTGTGCAGTCTGTGTTGCTTAAGGGGTGCCCTATGCATTTCTGATATGACAGAGTGGAGACATGTAGACTTAATCATGTTCTGGCTCAGTGGTTTCAACTTAGTTCAAGTCCTGGCTGCATCCACATGAAAAAAAATAAAATGTGGATGTATGCCTGCTGGAAGAAAAACATAGGCTATGACATAGTTAAGATAAATATGCATGCATATATAAATAAATACGCATGAACAGCACTGATACATGTGGGCACACAAGCCCATTATCATATGCATCGATGCATGCTAGCACGCATGCGCGCATGTGGGCACACACACATTTACATTTACAATATGATCTACTGAAAATATGGCCCACATACATGCTTATTTGTATACCGTCTGATGTAAAGCAACAGCGCTATCTTCTGTCCTGAAGAAAAACTGCAAGACTGCAGCAAATTGACTCAGTGTGAACAAGTGGTTTTCTCTGTTTCTTTTCTTTTCTCATCTGTCTGATGGCAACCTGCTGATTCATCTGGATCGATAACCTCTTTCATCTGATCCAATGAACATGTCAATAACACTTCAATGTGTGCTTCTATGTGTGTGTGTGTGTGTGTGTGTGTAAGCTTTTGAGCTGACTAAAAACACCCACATATACACTGAGGCTGTGAGGTTTCTGTGGCTACATATGAACAATATATCAGAAAAATGCCTTTTTCAGCCCACGTCTTCTCTCCCCCTCTACTGTTCCACTGTGTTCCACTGCTTTCTCTTTAATCCTCACCTTACCCATGCCCTTAATCATTCCCTCTTTTTGTGCTTCAGCCACACACACACACGCCTTCGTAGTTGAATCTCTTGCTCCTTCTCCTATATTTTTCCACTAACACCTATCGCAGCTTTGTTTCTCTCCCCTCCTTCTCCCACATGTCCTCCCACCCTTCTCCTTGTTTCTTCATCTGTGTCTGTCTCCTCATTCCTCCCCTGGCATCTCCCTCCACCTCTCTCTGCCTCTGTCTGACGTCATAGCAACTGCAGTGTAAGATCCAGAGGCTTGCTTGACACTGCCCATCATTCTATGAAGGATGACGAAGACGGCCAGACAGATGAGAACTAGAGGAGGTGGAGTGGGGAGAAAGAAGTTGCAAAAATGGACTGAGCCACACCCACATCACTGTGACAAGTAGGGTGGATGCACTAGTAGGGCTATTTGGCCGGCAAGCTATGGGCAAGGTTGGCTTTAGGCTGCAGCATTTTTAATGATGTGACTCACTCTGGCATGGTGCAGCAAACTGAGCATGCAAGCAACGCAAGAGGGTTACAATGAACACAAGAGCGTTATACTGATGTGCCACAGGACAGAGGCAGAAGGGAAAAGAAGAGATAGACTGAGGGAAGGGTATATAAGGTGATTTTAAGGGAACAGGGGATACTAACTTTCCATTCCATGTATGCCTGTCAGTAGCAAAAGGAAGATAAAAGAATAAAGAATAGAGGGAATGGAGGAGTAATGCAGGAACTGAGGGATGAACTGTTGTGTAAGATTTGCATTTTAAAGGATTATTGGCTCCTCACTAAGAGGATATGCTTTCACACACATGCACAGACACACAATCTCATTTTTTAGAACAAAGATATTAAAATGCAGACCTTCACTGCAAAAATTCCAGCAAAGTGCCAGCAATCAATCAATAGCTGATCATTTGGTCCTGATGCCCATTTAGCCTGACTTCCACAAACTAAAGTGGTTAAAACAGGGTACTGTCCCCTAAGGCCAAGTAGCACTACAGGAGCACACACGACTCCAATTATAATGTCTAATCTTAGGTGTGTGTTTGTGGGCGAGTGGCTTTGGTGGGTGTGTGGAGGACGGGGCTTATGTGGGTTGTAATAAAGAGAACATACAGTCTGCTGAACAGTCTTACTTTCAACGGTTGAGCTATAATGAATGCGCTAATGTGAAAAGGCTTGTGCACTCATTGCAATAGAGACATCTTGTGGAGAAATTGTCTAATAGCACTCTGTTTTAACATGAATCATCAGTGTAACAGTTTTAGAGGAAATTCAGGGTAAGTCTGTGTAATTAAAGGAGAGACAACTGCCAAAGTAATTTAATATAGCAGTTCATCTTGCAGGCTATAGATCGTCTACCCATGCTTAGGGGTAAAGGAAAAAGTATGCCAATAATAATCACATTGTTTTTTTAATTGTAGTACGTAAGTAAAAACATTTCCATGAAATGTTAAAGATGATAAAAGAAGACTGATAAATCCAACTTTTTTCCCCCTCTTATTGCAAGGTTTATTAGGGACCCATCTACTTAAAAAGGGCATATAAACATAGAGCAAATAAACATAAACAACAACCATCAGCAAGGCTTCCATGACCAGGTGTTATAAAGTGTTTTATGGTGCTCTTGTTTCATTTCTCATTATGATTAATGTAACTGTGAATCGTGACTTGTTGATTTCCGAGCCGAAATGAATGAGCAAAAGAGGGGAGGGGGGCGCCGAGGAAACTGATGAATGAATTGAACAAACACGCGTCGTGTACCTACGTCATATATTCCTCCGCGGAGGGATATTTTTCAGTGAGAAGCGTAGTTCCGGGATCTGGAACTACTTCCCAGGATTGCAAAGGGAAAAACCTTTAAAGGGTGTAAGGATACAGCGGAGCTACACGTCGCTAGCAGGTGCACAACGCAGGGAAATAACAAATACGAGGCGAAAGATGGCAGAGCATATGGCGTTTCCCCGTTCCCACTGACAGAAGACACGTCCGCCTCGAACCGTAACCTTGTGCTTTCACGAGAATAATGTCACGGTAAGTTATGCGAGCGGGCTATCGTTGTGTGCAGCTGTTAGCTTAAGGCGAGAGGTAGCGTGGATAGCTAACAGCTGACAACTCACTGACACATTGACGTTATGTTGCTCTCTGAGACGGATGTTAGGAGTTTTAGCAATTCGTAAGCGTATCTTATTATCACGCTGCGCATTCGTATGCCGCAAACACTTGTAAATAAATGTGAATGTTGTCAGCCAGGTAAGGTTTCCATTGTAAAAAAAATTATCTCTTGCTCATTTTCTAGTCTGTTGACTGGACCTGACGTCAGCTTGGGTTTGACGTAGCGTTAATTTATGACGAGCATGAAGCTATCTATAGAGTCACACGATGTATACGCATTTACGTGCAAGTAAGGCGAATACTTTCATATCAAGTGATATTTTTTTTGCTTTTGTAACGCGTGGGTCCAATGAACAACCTCATAATAAGCCTTAGACTTTCTGCTGACTGGTTTAACAGTGACACCTCCAAATGGGATGGAAGCTGCAGAAACTATCTTTATGTTCCACCTTAAAACTTACTCCTATTCTGTGTGTACTCTTAACTACAAATGTCACATCCAGGTGGGTCACTTGTTGCTGTATATAATCTAATGTCTTATGGCTTGGACCCAATAAACCATAAACTAGAATGATCAAGAGCTATAAGTTGTTTTAAAGCTCCTGTCCCCTGCAGAATGCTCTTTAAATCTTACAAATGTGTGTTATTTTTTTAGTTTTCCCCCAATGTCCGGAGGAAGTGACATTCCCGTTCACCACATCGGCACACGCCTCAGTGTGTAAGTGGCTCTGCGAATGGATAGATGTGACGCGTGGATGTGTATGAAAGAGAGGGAGAGTGAGAGAGAGAGAGAAACGTGCTGTCTGCCAAAGGGAACGGAGGGACTGTCTATCATCATTCAGACAAAGCTACCTTGGCGGTGCACGAAGCAGTGATTGTCTGACATACGTGGCTGTGTAGGTGGGCGTGTTCACAAGAGGGGAACATGAGTCACCATTGTTGTGGTTACTGTGAGGAGCAACTGGAGGAAGTGTATGGGAAGGGGAGGGGAGGGCCGGGTCGGTGGGGCAGCCCGACAAGACAAACTCAATTTTCATGGTAGAAACAAGAACTTCCTCTGCTTTTGTAAGAGGAAAGGTTTTACCCTGCACACACACACACACAC